TGGAACAACAGGTCAGGGTCACTGCACTTCCCAGCAGCTGCTCTGCTCAGCCTCAGGCGCAGGTGGGACCGGTCCCAGGGAGGGGGCGGCACACCCACTGCCATTTGGTCTCTTCCATCAAAATCCCATCTATAGTCACTGATGCTGGCTTCCAAGTCTTTCAAGGCCACGTGGCCAACATGTGGCCAGTTTCAGAGTTTAAGAGCACGGAGTCAGAACAAGGCTTGCAATGCACCAGGGAACTGTCTTTGGTGCACCAAGCAGAGGGCTGGCCAGGGTTCTCAGAAGCCGAGGGGCCTGCCGAGGTCACTGGCCTCCAGCTAGATGGCATTTTTGGCTGACTCCTGGACACTAGATTCTTTCTCAAAAGCTTGCGAGATGCAGACCGAATGCCTCCCCCCAACACACAGTGCTCCGGTTTGTGTTTTCAGACCAACTCGCGCATTATCTCACTTGGCCCTTCTGGGAAACACTTATATGAGCTCTCTGGGAGCTGGCCAGCTCTGAAAGGGAGCCGTGGAAGGAAGGGGAAGTCGAGAGGCCAGGATTGCTTAGCTCCACCAACAAGCCGAACTCACTCCTCTGCGAAGCCACCAGGCTTAACCCGGGGAGGGGCCACGGCAGGAAACAGCGACACAGCCTTCAGGGAGGGTTTAGTTTATATGTGGCTAAACGTCTTAAGAGCCCCAAAGAATGGCCAAAGCCTCTTGCATTCTCCACTCCGGGCCAGGTGAGAACTGAAGGCCTCTGCCCAATGAAACTGCCTGGCTCACGGCCCCTGGGGAGAATCTCCCTCAAACGCCCAAGAACCAACCAGGGCAAGTTGCTAGATGACGCCATTCATCCCTTTCCCCACTTTTTTAACACCATCTCCTGCACTTTTCCTGCAACGGAATCCTTTGAGGGAGAAGAGGAAAGGACCTGGTGATATTCGTGCCCAGTACTGCCCCCAACCACTGCCATGTGCAAGGCACCGTCGGGGGCAAATGTTCCTTGTCATGCTAGGGCCATTTGCAGAGGGGAAGGGCGTGCTTCTGAAGTGACAGTGTTGTCCGGTCAAGGATTTGACGACACCCTGCATCACATTCAGAGAAACCTGGAATGGCCAAGTGTTCTGTGTCGGGCAAGGTGGGACGGTGCAGAGTAGGGGGGAGGGGAGGGGCTGGTGGCAAGACAGATCCGGGGAGAGACCCAGCTCTCCCGAAACGCTCTTCCCCGGGGGGAAGGATCCAAACTGGAGGTCTGTTGCCGAGTGAGACTGGAAGTTTCCATTTCTGGTATCAGGGAACACTGAAGTCAGAAAATTTGAAATTCTGGGCCATGCATTTGGCACAGTAGCTTTAGTCTCCACTCAGGACGCTGGCAACCCGCACAGGAGTGCTTGGTTCGGGTCTTGGCTCCTCTGCTTCTGATCCAGCTCAAGCGCCTCAGTTTCTGCCACCCGAGTAGGAGACTTGGAGTTCCAGGCTCCTGGCTTTGGCTTGGCCCAGCTCTGGCTTTTGTGGGAATTTGGGGAGTGAACCAGTGGATATGAGATCTGTTTGTCTGCCAAATATATATGTACATAATGCTGATATTCCACAAGCTTATATTTTTCTGATTCTCTGCAGTTCCAGGCTCAAAGTGACTGCACATTTCTGAGCAGAAAAAACTAAAAGACAGAAATAGAAATGATGTGGGGCCAGCACTGTCGCATAGCAGGTTCACCTGCCACCCGTGATGCCATCATCCTATGTTGAGAACCAGTGCCTGCTCTACTTCCAATCTCCAGCTCCTTACTAATGCATCTGGGAAGGCAGTGGAAGATGGCCCAAGTGCTTGGATCCCTGCACTCATGTGGGAGACCCGGATGGAGTTCCAGACTCCTGGCTTCAGCCTGGCCCAGCCCAGGCCATTGTGGCCATTTGGGGAGGGAACCAGAGGCTAGAAGATCTTTGCGTCTCCGTCTCTCCCTATCACTCCGCCCTCACATAAATAAAATCTTTTAAAAAAGTAATAGAAATGACGAAGCTCATGGGAAGCAGCAGCACGTGCCACTGCTCCCTCCTCTTCCTAAACCTGCAACGCTGATGTTGCTGGGAGTTTTCTACTCCGGAGCTCCTGGACTCGATTTTCCCACAGTGCTCGCTCTCACCCGGCATCCTCTGGGAACCAGAGCCGTTCGCGCCTGTGGTTGAGCGCCATCACAGCAAGCCCCGCACATGTGATTTAGGGGATGATGCGCACAGTCTTAGGAGTCAGACAGGCAGATGCGAGCGCCAACGTCTCCTCCAGCAGACATCATGCAAACAAGCGGAGGACGTGCCTGTGAGGGGTCACCTCCAGTCCCCACGTGTCCCCACCTCCCGGTGGGTGTTGTACTGAGAGCAGCCCCGTGATTCCGCAGTGGTGGGGCGGTCTTGGGGGGCTGAGCTGCTGCCTCTGTGCGCAGTGGGGAAGGTGGGCCAGAAGCATGTCTGGACGGTTGGGGAGGACACACGGGGACTGAGGTCCTTGGTGCGAGGCGCTGGCACCAAGGCCTTGTACCAGGATCAGCAGACGGGAGCTCGAGCGGAGAGGGGATTTCTGCTGCTGCAGTGTAGTAGGTTTGGGACAGGCCCTTGTGCTGGGAGGAGGGAGACACTCAGGACAGCCTGCCATGACCATGGCTGTGTAAATGGCTGCTCTGGGCACAAGACCTAGAAAGACGGGCGCAGAAAGGAAGGGAAGTGGGGCTGCCCCCTTCAGCCTTGCCCCTGCCTGGGGCTCCTCTGCCTCAATTCTTCCAATCAAGTTCAGATCTTTTGGAAGTTCTGGAGAGCATGGAACCTGGAAGAGTGTGTGGGTTCCCATTTCCAGCGTGGGGACAGTAAAGTCCCAAAGGAAACTTCTCGGCACGCAGCTCCTGCAGTCCAGAGTGAGAAGCAGCAGAGATGTGTGCCGGCTGCATTGACCCCCATACTCCCGGGTCTGACTCCCAGCTCGGACACTTGCAGGCTGTGCCCAAGATTCCTTGATAGTAAAAAAAAAAAAAAAAAAAGAAAAGAAAAGAAAAGGCATGATAATCCCAACACCCACCTCACAGGACTGCTGGGTGGCCTACAGGAGTTCGAGGGTGTCCAGCACAGTCTTGGTCCACAGCAAGAACTACACGGAGTTTTAATGTCAACGTGTGCAGGGAATAGCGAGTGTACAAGTGTCGTCTCGGGACAGAACAGCCGAAGTCACGAGTCTGGTCCACACTCGCAAAGAACCCAGTCCCCAGGGTCTGAATCCGTTATTCTGACATCTAAGGGCACCATGAAACTGCTGTGAAGCCCTGAGCATGGAGACGGGGCTTCCATGGAGCCTGCGTGTGCTGTCCCACCCACTTCCCAGCTCGGTGAGTGGGTCCGAGGCTCATGCAGATCCCCCAGCACAGGACGAGCCCCGGCCCCTCTGAGGTGTGGGTTACCCAGCTATGATGTTTCCCCTTCCTGTTCCTTGCCGGACTACAAGGAAATCCTGGGGGCCAATGGGGAGCCACAGGGGACTCCCAAAGTCACCTCTATGTCTGGACTTGGCTGCAGGTGCTGTGGGCAGCCTTGGCCCATCCCTGCTAGGTGCTTTTGCCTCTGGGAACCTGGGGCTCCCAGGAGTGTCTGCCACCATGCAGGGTCTCCCCATTATTTCAATCTAGAGAAGCTCATGTCCTCATCTCTCTGCTACCTTGTGCTGGAGCTGGGTTCTAAGTGGAACCCTCCAGTCACTGGGGAAGTTGCAGGGTTCAACGAAGCTGCAGACTAACAGGACTGCCCAAAGGCACAGCAGCCTCTGACCTTGCTTGGAGCAAAATGCACGGCGCCTTCTGGCTCAGCGATGGCATAAATGCCACCTCGCATCGATCGGTCAACAAGACGCGCTCACTGAGCTGACAGCGTGTGATGCGGGGGTGTGAGAGCCACAGTGAAAGAAGCATGAGGAAGGGAAACAGTGCGAGTGCTGCACGAGGGTCTGTCCGCCCGGCCCCTCCCCCTTCCTCACCCTGGACGGCTGCCAGCCTGGTAAGGGCACGGCCACCGCCCACTCCGACAGCCCTTTCTTTATGTGGTGCTGACCTCTAGAGGCTCCCAGCTAAAAAGCATCCCAAAGGACCGGCTCCACCGCACCGCTGCCTTTTATACCCCCAAGAAAAGGAGGAGGAAATACCTCTGTCGCCCGCCCAGATCTGTATCCGTGTCATTGTTTCCCACTCCACAAAGGGCGAGAGGTGGGGCACAGCCAGAAATGGGTTCACGGGGTGTTTCTGTGCTGACTGGGGCAGTAAGAGGGAATGCAGGAGGCATTTCTTGAGTTTCCAAAGCATTAGGGCACCAGGCAGAGGGGAGAGCAGTGTTCACACACAGCCCAGCATCACAGCGCACGCTCTGCTAACAGCCACGCAGGAAACTGGAAACCGTGAGCTCTCTGACACACACACACCCCTCTACACTGGGCCCGTTTAACCCATCTCAATTCCAATCCAACAACCTACAGAGCCCCATTCAATTGGAGAAGCAAACGTGCTCTTCTTCCGGTAATGGGATTTACTGCCAACTTTACCACCTACTTTCCAATTTATTATTTAAATGCTATTGTTTGCTGACCAGTAGCACCTGGGAGGAAATTAGAAGCCAAGCAGTGGCTTATCATCCAAAAACGACCAAAGAATACAGAGTCTAAGGGGCACCAGAAAGAATTCCTAGCTAGGTTAGCAAAAAGAGAATTCTCACATATAAAAACAGAAGTACTGGTTTAAAGGGAAAGTAGAAAATTGCTAGACACCAGCTGTAGCACCAGAGTAGACATCGTGACAGTCCCAAGATGTCTTGTTAACCCTTATTAACCTCTGAACCACCGTTTGTGTTTTCTGTAATCTTCCCTACCCACGCCCCGCCCCCAACACACACCCCCTGCGCCTGGTCTTCAGTATTTAGAGTGCTCTGGGCAGACCGTGGGGCCAGAGATGGCGGAGGGGTAACAAATGAGGCACAGCTTGGGGCGGAGTTTGGAAGGCTCTTTAATAGCAAGCGTATGGTAATTACATGGTTGGGTGAGACCTTCTCTCGGGGAGGGGGCGTGCCAGACCGGACAGGGCTCATCAGAGGATGCACACGGCTGTAAGCATGGGACAGAGGGCAACGGTTTTTGGCAAACCCATTTCCCAGCTTTGTAATTCACAAGAGGGTTTTCTGGAAGGAACCAGGAAGGCTGAGCCACACACAAACACCCTACAAGAAGGAACACTTCCGGCCTAAAGCAAACACACTAGCTGGCTGCTTTGGCTCCCGTGGAGACGGTGGCCCTCGGCTCTCGTACACACGGGACGACGGGACGGCAGGGGGTTTCCACCTGCCCTGCGGCTGAAGAGTCTGACCCGCCCGAGGCTGTGCAGGCCGATCCCTGGGGCAGAGGTGCCTGGTCGAAAGGAGGTCTTGGGAAACAAAAACAGAAGAATAAAACCAGAAAAGGCAGTGTGCGGGGAGCGGGCCGCCAGCTTTCTCTGCTGCCAGGCACACATTGCTTTCACGTGCGGCTTTAATGCTTGCGCCGATTCGGCCCTATGGGGCTACAAGAGGGGTTTCCACATTTCTGTCCTCCAAATTTAAGGAAGAGAGGACAACATGTTACTGAATAATGCGCCTCGGGCAGGAGCTACAGATCTCTTACCATGGACGCCATACTGCCATGACTAACACAGGTTCCTGGCATTCTACCAAGTGACAGAATTATCCCGTCGAAAATCTAAAAGCCTTCAGCTTCTCATGTCACAACACCAACCAACTGACTGGATCTTTAAGAAAGGATTAGTTCCTGATTTAAAACACTCTGTAGGCTTCTCTGCAGATTAAGCAACCAGCACTACTATCCCTTTGGGGTCAGCATCCACGAGAGGGGAGAGGGGTCTGCGGCCCACGTGGGTTTTGATTGTGCTCTTTCTACAACCCTGAAGCATTGTAGGGAATGGGGGGGGGGGCGGTTTCTGTCCTGTGGCACTCCTGGCCATGGCCCACGTCTTGTTCAAGTTCCCCTTGCAGGTGGCTGGAGCCCCTCTGGTGGCTCTGGCTGGCTGCTGGTTCCAACAAGAACTGCACCAGATGTGCAGAACACCTGCTGCTTCCTCCACTGGGGAGCACTATAGAACTCACCCAGGCATCGCCAACGCAACCAACTCAAGGTCTGGAGGAAAGCTGGTCCCCAGGAGGCTGCAGGCAGACTGGGTCCCTAACTCCCCTCCCTATTCACTCCCTCTCTGTGACGTCCACCTTTGAAGGCAGATTCCCAAAATACAAATCCTAGGCACGCCCTGGCCGAGTCTTTGTGCTCCATTCCCAGACCAGTGTGAGAGAGGACGGCTTCGACGTGCAGTTACTCCTGGCGAGGTTCTCCCCTGAGGACACTGCAAACCAAATTCTGGCACCAGGACACTCCTGTGCCTCACCCAGAGCCCCGGCAGCCTGCTCCATAGGATGATGGAGGTGGCCAGGGAGCCAGAAGAAAAAGTCTCCATGACTCACGCCAACCCAGGATCCAGCATCTGCAACGTTCGACTGGGCCTGGTTTCGGCTCTCACAGCTGGCTCACAAGGAGCCATGAGCACACACATGCACACACACACACACACACTCTCTCTCTTTCATTCACTCTCTTACTTGCGCTGTCACTTTCTCTCCACTGGACGACATGGGGAGAAAAAAACACAAAACAGCAAAGCACTTGCCTGTCACTCCACAGCTTTTCTTCATGCAAACCTCGCTCTCAGTGAAGTTCAATGCGTTCCCCTTGCAGAGCCCCAGTGTCAGGACACAAAGAGAAGCATGCACAGCTGAGATAGGCAACGCCTCCTGGAGCCTGGCTCTGCCCTCTCCCCGCGGGAACAGAGTGTCCTCGGCCCCGCAGGTGGGGACAGTCACAGGCTGCACATGGCTAGCAGTCCACGGCTAGCATCCTAAGGACCACATCCTGGCCAGCTTCCAAATGGGTTCCCTTCTCCTCTCCCTAAGATGCCTTGAGTGCTGCTCCCGGGGCCACACAGCAAAAGGCAGGGACAGAAGGGAGGGTGCTGACAGCTGGCAGGGCCAACACCCCCTGCTTCACAGAGCAGCTAAATGGGACTCTCCACGGCCATACAATCAACAGCAGAGTCAGGACTGGAACCCAGCGGCCTCCTAGTCCCAGGCCCGTGTTCCACCCAACACCTCACTGCCCCCTCCTAAGAAAGCTCACGCCGCTGCCTCACCACGGAACCACTTCCGTGACAAACAATACGGGCTGCCCGGCCTCATGGATCGGCCACAGGTAGCACTGCACAGGGCCACTCTGCGCCACACTAAGAGCAGCCACGGTGAGGCAGGAGAGCACACGCGTGCACGTGTGTGTGTGTGTGTGTGTGAACGGTCACAGGGATGTGCACACAGCCACAGAAACAGAGCTTTAGAGGGAGCAATCTGATTTGCTAAAGCCTTTGGGGTTTTGCCACGGGAAATCAGTCACATACAGGGATTTTCTCCATCGCCTGTGCCTGGGGCAGAACAAAGACCAGGATTCACATCAGCCCACAGAATAGCTCGCTCTGTCTCAGCTCAGTTCTCATCAAAAGAGGAATATTAACATGATGATAGCAAAATGCATTTGGTTAAAGTCTAAACACTTCTGTGACAGAATACATTTTACAGGAACATCCATTCCACTCCCAAACCCAAGTCAATCTAGAGCTATGCCTCCGGATGCGACTCCAGCTGACCTGCAAATGGTGCAAGCTAAGCCAAGTTTCTACATTTCCGCCACAGAAGTCATCCTTGTGTTCTGCTATGCTCAGGTGGGGGGGTCTCCATGCCTGGGCGGCACCTATGTAACCCACAGCTCCCCGTGACCTCTGCTCGTGACCCGAGCTGGTCAGAACACAGGTGGGCGGTGAAGGGCGGGCCACGCTCACCCTAGCACATGAAACGCTAAGTCCACTGCTTTGCTGATGGGCTACTTGGAAGGAAATTCACTGGACCGGAAATGAACCTTGATTATGTTTTCCCAAGAAAAGAAAAACCGCACTGGTACTGAAACATGGATGGCAACCACTGAATTATTTTTCCCAGGGACTTCAAACTGCAGCCCAATCAATTCAACAGAAACTGCTGGGCCACTTGGGTTCCCATGGCTGTGTCTGCAAGAGAAGCAAGACTCTGCTAAGCTCTGTGGCCTCTGTTGCTGGGGATGTGTTTTTAACTCAGAACTCTGACAACCTGCCAGGCGTGTGTGTGTGTGTGTTTACCTAGGTGCCAAGTGGAGGCAGGTGCATCCTGCAAGCTAAGTTCTTGGGATCGGAGAAGCGGAAGAGTCCAGAGGAGGAGTGCTTCAAGGACTCCCATGAAACATGACAAAGGCATTCCCCAGGAAGCACGGGTCGGCCACAGGGGGCCACCAGCGTTTTCAGCTATGACTGCGGTTGCTTCTGCATTATCTGAGTGTCCTGTTCATTCCAACACCCCTCCAAGCGAACCCATGACACACATGCCTACTTTTGTGTCCCATTACAGCTCCCTGCAGTTAGGCCTCTCATCGCACTGAATTGCAGTTTAATAAGTTACACAATGGAATCCTGTTCTTGACTTTTTTTTCTTAAAAAAAAAAAAAAAAAAGAATACAAGATCAAGAAAGCGTAGGATGATGCTATCATCTTTTGAAAAACTTTCTCTCCTGGTTTATTTTCTTACTAAATTTTTCTATGGCTTCAAAGTTTAAGTGGCACTTACTTGGATTCTGCGTGTTTTCATGATTTGGAAGTTGCCATCTCATTCTAAGAGAATAGGTAAATGGCCCACTGCACAGCGTTCTAAAGAAGTCAGCAGTGTACGCCTCTCGCCCTCTCCATGGTCCCCTCCACTAGACTTTCACAGTGGCTTTGGACTTAGCAGGTCTGGAAACAACAGAACACGCAAGCAGCACTGCTCCCTAACTATGCACCAGCTGCCACACGCACACTCCGCGAACTCAACAATGGCAAACGCTCCAAGGCTTCTCTGCCCCCTCCCCCTCGCAGTCCCAAGCTAAGCGATTATCCTGTTCGCACCCTTGCATTTGCAGTTTCATGACCAGATACTCAAACTCATGCTTTTTTAGGAGCAAAACCTTCACTTACGGACACTTACAACGTACACTGAAAGTGCAGACTGCATCCCCCTCTGCCATGCTGTGCCCCAGGAGGGCCCCGGGGGAGAACTCCAGGCGCAGCCTGCGCAGCCTTCCTACATTAGGAGTTCCCTGCGTCGGCCAAGGCGACGTCCCCAACGCAAACCCAGGAGAGGACAGCCGGCCGCGACGGACTCTGAACTCAAAACGGCAAAAGCGGCCAAGACAACTCCGTGGAAACCCGGCTGCGGCAGGGCTGACGCGCAGGTCACTTCTGAGCCAAGCTCATCACAGATATCTGGCGGTCGTTAAGAAGGTATTTCATTGTCATCGGGATACGGGGCGCCGGGAGTCCTGTTTCGGGGTGCACGCGACCCCACCCGGGGCCCCACGGGCTCACTCTCCTCCTCCTTGCCAGCCCTGCGGGTTACTGCTGACTGACGCCCATCTGGGCGTGGTCTGCCTCTGGCTCCTCCTCTTCCACGTCCGCGCCGTACTCCTCGAACGCATCGTCCTCTGCATCCGGGAGCCCCAGCAGCTGCAGGGAGAGAGGAGGCAGAAGCAGCTGTGAGCACCACACGGACGGCGGGCAGGATGCGAACCCCCGGCTTCCGATCCAACCAAGCAGCGCTTCCGGCCGCAGTCACCGCCTTCCCGAGTTCAGACACGCCTGAGGCGGAAACAACCCTTCAGTCGTGCCCAAAGACGGGGGTTTATGGGGAGCCTGCAGCGTCTCTGTTTTTGCTTATTTATTTGAGAGGCTGAGAGACAGTGAGAAGAGATAACCAGCACACCCGTCCGCTGGTTCACTTCCCGAACACCCACAACAGCCCCCGAGGCGGGGCTGAAGCAGGGAGCCACGAACTCAACCCAGCAAGTGTATATACTGATGTATGTAAGCTTGTGATTTATACACTAAATGCAAAATGCGACACATAGTAAGTAGAAAAACCATTGTTCCTCAGGAGTGTGGACAAGGGCTACAAACAATCAAATCTCAAAATGCCAGTTTCGCTCACATACACTACATTTTCTTTGTACCCTGTATATTAGTTGCCACAAATCAGAGAACACACATATTTGTCTCTTTGGGACTGGCTTATCTCCTTAAGCATAACTGCACCCATTCTGTTGCAAAAGACAGATTTTATTCTTTTTTATGGCTCAGGAGTAGTCCATCATGTCTACCTACCACAACTTCTTTATCTAGTCATCAGTTGATGGACTTCTGGGTTGATTTAAACTCTTAGCTATTGTGAATTGAGCAGCTATGAACTTGGGGGCCCAGACAACTCTTTCCTGTGCTGATTTCATTATCTTTGGGTAAATTCCCACGAGTGAGAAGGTGGGGTCATATGGTGGATCTATTTTCAGATTTCGAGGCATCTCCATACTGTCTTCCACAGTGGAACTGATGTCTTAAAGCAGTATCTTAACTGCCAGCCCATATGCCTACCCCTATTTTTAGCATCAACACTTAGTAGCACATATATACAGAGATACGATATCTATGCAAACACACACCTGGGATGTTAGCAGAAGATGAACAGTGCTGATGTCCCAATAAGATAACTAAAATTTATTTTCTACTGTATTTTCTCCCCTCAAAACACACGCTGATATTATTCTAACACATTTATAAAAATGTTGAGACAACGAAAATATATAACAGGAAAATTGTTAAACACATCCTGGTGCATCAGTAATGTGGAATCATCTATATCCACTGAAGATGTCATTTTTGAACAATTTAGTGATATAAGAAATATGCCCATAAGTGTAAAAGGAGCTGGATAAAACTGCATTTTCATGATGACACAGGTTTTCCTGAAATTGATACACAGATGCACAGAAAAGACTTCAATAAAAAATATCCAAATTTTAAGATTTTATATTAAGGGGTTATGAATTTTTTTGTTGATCTTTTGTATTATCTGAATCTCGTATAATTATTACCAGAGAAACTCATGGGACACGCTTGCTAAAGCACTGGCTGTGGTTAGGGATTGGCTGGCACTTGCCAGGCCTGAGCGGTCCAGGGCTGCCCCAGAAGCTCCCTTGTGCTGGAGCAAGCCCTGTGCAGGTGGGGCTCCTGGGCTGCTCTGTGACAACCAGGCTTCCACCCCACAGTTCTCATCGAGAGCCACAGTCTGGGTGTGGCCAAAGGACGGTTTTACCAAGGGGCTGCTGGGATGGTCATTTTCAGGCCCCTCCACGAGGACACCAGAAAGACGGCCATCCTTGCGGCTCACCTTGCCACGCCTCCCTAGCAGCCCTCCACCCCTTCTTCCCACCCTGCTCCACTGCTTCCACGGGAAAAGGATAGCAGAGTTCCAATCACTCTCCCAGGTCGCACGGCCCTGGGGGCCCTGCGGTATGAGTCCCATGAAGCACACAGCCTGCCAACAAGGCCAACCGCAGGCAGCGCCACCCACTGCTCAGCCGGCTGCGGCTGCCTCCGACACCGTTAACGGGCATGGCAGGACAGCAGGTGCAGCTGCCAGTAGGGGCGGGGGGCGCCCATCCCCTGTGCACGCGGCAGAAGGAAAAGTCCCTTTTTCTCACTGCTGCCTCCACTCTAGATTGTAGAGGGAGGAACAGATATGATAAAGTTGGCCGCTGAAGAGAGGGAACAGGTGCCTGGTCAAAATGCACACAGATAATTTTGGTGGCCACTATCCATCCATCTATGTACCTATCTATCTGAAAGGCAGAGTTAGAGAGAGAGAACGGCCAGTGCTCATGTGGGATGCTGGTGTCGCAAGTGGCAGCTTAACCCACTGCGCCACAATGCCGGCCCCAGCAGTCATTTTTATATGAAGAGCTGCTCAATGATACGGCAAAGTGTTAAGTGTCCTATGAGAGGTTAACACTCAGGGAGGTGGTTGAAATATAAATATTGTTACCAGTGGCTCTAAAATCATGGAAATACCAAAAGAGGATGCAGAAATTCAACAATATATGCAACTGTTCGTTTCACTGATGGGCTTTGAGAAACGGCCTTCGGGTTCCCTCTCACTTAACGGATCCGGCTGCCTGGAGCCCTGGGTTAAGGAAGATTCTGAGGTCCAGCAAGAACATGGTCGAGCGGCAACGGCTGACCTGCACAGAGAGGCCACAGCCAAGGCGTGCGTCTCTGTCTGCCTTTGCTGTCCGAACAGCTGTGCCTCTGACGGTCTGTCACAATCAGCTGATGCACACACCAGCGCAACCTGAACTTTCTCTTCATTTTAGGGTGGTGTAGACGGGGATCCAGGGAGCCAGGCAGCAAGCCACTTCCACCTCCCGTCCCTGCCCCTCCGCCCCTCCTTCCAGCTCCCTAGCTCTCCTCGCATGACAGCCCACAGCACACTGGCCAGGAGTACGGGAGCACGGGCACACGGGAGGCCTTCCCTGCGGCCTCAACAGCTCCGCCCGCGCCTTCATGAGTGCTCACCCCGGCCTGACACGAGGGGGAACAGAAAAGCAGGTCCCAGGGGCCTTCTGGACTCCTCGGGCATGCAGGTGCACGGCCTGCAGCTCCAGCACACCGGAAACCTGGGCTCTGCTTGGTCAGGAACCTCGGCCAGGCCACAGCCACCTGCTCTCCCCTGCCGGGAGCGAGAAGGGACTAGTTAGTCGAGTGGCTTGCCCAGAATTGCCCAGGAGGTGGCACAGCCAGGATTCAAACCCCGGCGACTGTGCCTAAGCACCCGGCTGCCCAGGGGATTCCAGTCCAGCCCCAGCGCGGCCCTGGTCAGCTGCAAGGCAGGTGTCTGCGTAGACGTGCCTGTGCCATCGGGAAGCATGTTTGAAAGAGCAGGGAGAGGGGCAGCCCCGGCACTGGCCCGGCATTCCAAGGCTACGAGACACACCATGGATTTCCATGCACGCCCCCATTGTAAACGTCACTTCCGGATCCCCATTTCTCAACAGCCGAGACGATGCATCAGAGACAGAGCACAAATAGCCTGCTAAGAACCCCGGAAGCCGCAGGAGACAGCCCAAGAACACCTGCCACGTCTGGCACATTTCAGTGATGCCTGAAAGTCACAGCCGTGCGTTCCTAATGCAAGGACAGCTTTTCAGTTGACTGGGGGCAAAGTTTCTGCTCCCTCCAGACAAGGCTGCTGGCATTCCCGGGTCTCTGTCCACAGAGCTCTTTTTCAGCAAGCCAGGGACACACAGGAAGTGCAGGGGCCCAGCCGGCCAGGCATGGCTGCCAAGCTTGAGAATGGCGTTCTCCACACCCCCCGGGTGCCGGCTGCCCGTGGCGCGGACTCCAGGTCTTTGGGATGAGAGTGCAAACCACTTCAGGGCGGGAGGCACAGGCATTCGGCACCTGCTATCTCAGCAGGGGGCACTCAGGCTCATCCAAGCAAGGGAGGGGGCGTTGCAGGGAGCATGGTCAGCTGGGGCAACTGGTCATGGCCTTGGTGCCCGGTGGCTTTGGAGGTCCCTAGAAAGCTCCTTCCAGAGGAACCCCTCCCCCCAAAGCTTACGGGGCTAGTCCAGAGCTTTCCCTGCAGTGCAGAACCTGCCTCAGTGCTCTCAGGCAGCAGTTGCTCCTGCACTTGCAGCAAGCTCCCGGGTGATGGGGGCACTGCGAATCCAGGAGTCATGCTCAGCCTCAGGGAAGGTGATCTCTGACGCTGCCAGGCCCAGGACCCATGACGGGATCCTGGCTGGTACCAGTCTGTCTCGTCTTTTTTTTTTTTTTTTTTTTTGCTTGTTTTTAAAATTTACTTGAAAGGCAGAGAGACAATGATAGACACAGATATTCTACCCACTGGTTCACTGCCCAAATGCCTGTAACAGCTGGAGTTGGGCCAGGCCAAAGCCAGGAGCCAGGAACTCAGTCCTGGGTCTCGTGGGTGGTAAGGACCCAAGTCCCTGAGCCACCGCTGGAGCTTCCCAGGGTGCGCATCAGTAGGAAGTGGGAATCAGCAGCAGTCAGGGCTTGAATCCTAGCTCTCTGGCATGGCACGCAGGGCTCCCAGGTGGCCTATTAGCCACCGTGCCAAACAGCTGCCCTTAGCCTGTCCTCTTGACAGCAGGCAAAAAGTGGCAGGTGGCTGTGACACCGCCGTGGGCAAGGGCAGCAGGTGCCTGCGACTTACAGGGGCCGCTGCACTTTCTAAAAATGACAAGGGTTTCAATGTTGATAACATAAGCCAAAAATAAGCCACAACCAACAAAATATCTCAACATTCAACATCTTTCATTAAAGCTCACATGTGTGCGATGGGCATTTGGCCTAACGGTGAGTCGTCAGTTACGGCACCTGTGTGTCCTATCACGGTACCCGGGTTTAATACCTGGCTCTGCTTCTGATTCCAGCTTCCTGCCAGTGTGCACCCTGGGAGGCAGCAGGTGATGGCTCAAGGACTTGAGTCCCTGCCAACCACAAGGGAGACCCAGAAAGAGTTCTGGCCCCTTGGCTTCGGAGAGGCTTAGCTCTGGTTGCTGCGGGCATTTGGGAGGGACGCCAGGGACCCTGCACTTCAGCAACGTCATTGCAATCTGCTTGACAACCCCCCCGCCCCCCGAAGGCTGAGCTTCTCTCTGGCCACCACAGGGGGCAGGGGCTGGCGAGGGAGGCTTCTAAGACGCGGGCGGAGCCGTGGCAGCTGCTGGAATGGGTCGGGACCACGCCATTCTCAGGGGAACCACGGGCTGCCTGCTCCGTAATCCAGCAGCACTGGGTGCCCGTTTCTTCACCAAATCCTGTCCGCTACGACACCGCAACGAGACCCTCCCGTGTCCGCACTCGCAGCGGGGACACCATGCTGCTCGGCCCTTTGCTAGGGTCTGCGATCCCGCGCGGCACACACTTCACCCGCATCCAAAGCAGGTGCCTCCACCTGCCCGGGCAGGGGGCCCCCGGAGGAGACAGGCACTCCCCGGCCTACAGGGCAAGCTCTGCTTTGCACTGGGAAAGGGCGAGCCCCGCAGCGTCCAGTCAAGGTGGGGCGCCCAGCTCCCGGGGAAGGACAACGCTCAACCACTGCGTTTTTCCCACTGACACGTGGCTCCCTGGTGGCCCTAGTACAGGCCCAGACTTGGTAAAGAAAAACAGCAAGGACACATCCTGGCTACATCCTGGTTGGCGTGTCCCTGCTGCAGGGACCCGGGCTGCCAGCTCAGGCAAAAGCCTGGGAAAGAGGACCCGGCGGGCGGCGGCCAATGATGACCCCTGTCAGGGAGCAGGTGCAGAGTGACCACCACTTGCTGATGGGTTTCCTAGTTAGGATGTAGGGGAATTGACTTTCTTGAATGATGCCTTCAACTTTCTAGAAAAGATTTATTTATTTATTTGAAAGGCAGAGTGACAGAGAGGGAGAAGGAGGTGGCGGGCAGGGCAGGGAGAGAAAGGTCTTCATTTTGCTGGTTCACTCTCCAATGGCTGAAATAGCTGAGGCTGGGTGGGGCCAAAGCCAGGAGCTTCGTCAGGATCTCCCACGTGGGTGCTGGGGCCCATGCACTTGGGCCGTCTGCTGCTGCTTTCCCAGACCATTAGCAGGGAGCAGGATTGGAAGTTGAGAAGCCGGGACTCGGACTGGCTCTCAGTGGGATGCTGGTGTCACAGGTCAGGTGGCTTAACCTGCTGGCCCCAGAACTGATTTTCTTAAAATTCTTCCTGACTTGCTATCTTGACTTGGATATCCAGTAGGTGCTTCAACCCTGCCTTGGGCAGGACCGAGTTCTGACAGCTCTGTCCCCACTGCTCTGCCGCAGCCTTCCCCAGCCTGGTACATGGGGAGACTCCAGCGTCACCCCTGTCTTCTCTTTTCCTCACCTCCAGTGGTGCTGGGTCTGTTCCCAAGGCACTGCAGGCTCTGAGTCCTTCATGCCACCTCTGCTGTCACCTCCCCGCCTGAGCCCCAGCATCTCCACCGATGACAACCAGAGCCTCCTCACCATCTCCCAACTCCCACCCTTTCCCCTACAGCCTGTTCCCAACACGGTCGCCACAGGGAGCCCTTCAAACCATGAGGTCAAGGTCACTGTCCCCCCCCCCCCACTCGAACCCCACCAGGACTCCCAAGTCCCGAGGCCTTACCTCATGCCTGCCCGACAGCCCCGCCCCCACCTCGGGCCCTGCACAGGTGTCCCCGCCTGCTGTCCCCACGGGAAAGCCCTTACCCTGGACTGCTGTGTGCTCCAGCCTCACGGCCAGGTTTTCAAGTGGCCTTAGCAGGCCCCTGGGGACCCTGACCCTCCTCGGCCCTGCCCACGGCATCACTTCTTTTCTCCTTGGTGCCCACACCTTGCGCTTCCAGGCTGTGCTTGGCTGCACTTGGTGAGCCGTTCATCTGTCTGGTTCAGGGCCGGGAACAGGGCAGCCCGTCATGGCAAGTGCTCAGTTGGTCTTAGTAAATGCCTGCTGGAGGCATGAAACTGGGACACATTGGGGCCGGTGCTGTGGCGCAGCAGGTTAATGCTCTGGCCTGAAGCGTCAGCATTCCATGTGGGCACCAGTTCAAGGCCCAGCTGTTCCACTTCCAATCCAGTTCTCTGCTGTGGTCTGGGAAAGCAGTAGAAGATGGCCCGAGTCCTTGGGCCCCTGCACCTACATAGGAGACGTGGAAGAAGCTCCTGGCTCCTGATAAATGCAAGCTCCGGCTGTTGTGGCCATTTGGGGAGTGAACCAGTGGATGGAAGACCTCTCTCTCTCTCTCTCTCTGTAACTCTTTCAAATAAAGAAATCTTAAAAAAGAAAGAGAGAGAGAGAGAGAGAGAGAGAGAGAGAGAGAGAAAGAAAGAAAGAAAGAAAGAAAGAAAGAAAGAAAGAAAGAAAGAGGGACACATCAGTATGTTTAAGTCAAATATCTATTTTGAGTGAGCCAAACTGGCGTAGAAAATTCAACAGAAAAGGAATTAGCCCAAAGACGCAAATCAGACCGAGTGACAAAAGTCACAGAAATTCTATTTCTTATAACGGTGGCTGAAATGATTGACATGGAGCACTTGTAAAGCAGGTGGATTTAATACGAAAAATACCTTTTAAGTATAGTGAAGACTTAGGGGCCAGCACTGTGGGACAGCTGGCTTAGCTGGTTCAAGTCCGGTTGCTCCACTTCTGATGCAGCTCCCTGCCTGCGTGCCTGGGAAGGCAGCCGGAGATGGCCCAAGAGCTTGGGCGCGTGCACCCACACCCACGTGGGAGACCTGGATGGAGTTCCAGGCTCCGGGCTTTGGCCTGGCCCAGCCCTGACTGTTGCAGCCTTCTGGGGAGCGAACCAATGAATGGAAGATCTGTTCCTCTCCCTCTCTGTTTCTATCACCTTGCTCTTCAAATAAATAAAATAAATCTTAAAAACCAGAAAAAAAAAAAAAAGAGAGAGAGAGAGAGAGAAAACATACTGAAGACTTTAGAACCTGGAAAGCAAGCCCAACACAAAAAGCGGCTTTTGTCCTAAGGGTATTTGCTGACATGGGGGATGCCACCAGAAAGCTCACTGCATTCTCGGCCCACTCCAAGAGCTGGGGGAACCGCAGCAAGAGCCCGGGCTGTGACAGTTACCCCTGCTCTCAGCTGGGAGCCCCCCACCCAGGCCCCTATCCTTATGCAGTGTTAAGGTGGTCTTAGATAGGGCCCCCAGCCCTGGCAGCAGCAAACCCACGTCCTGTCTGGCAGAAGGTCGACTCAGGCCTCCGTTTATTTCGGTGTAAACTTTCCAGTGTAACAAGTGCACACAGAGGAGATGCAAAGGCACAAAGAAACAAGATGCCAGGAGCGAGACCCAGCAGAGAGAGACAACAGAACAGACCTGCAAACCCCCGGATAACTGGGGTATCCCACAGGCCACTGGGCAGCCACGGTCACCATGTTCCATACAGAAAAGACACGCGTGGACGTTGCAGTGGGGAAGCAGAGAGCAACAGACGTCGTCTGAGAAGTAAAGAAGGAGCGTTTCCAGTGCGAGTGTCACCGGGGCACTGACCGTGGGGGACACCTGGCACCGGGAGTCTGACTCCACCTTCCAGCGGGGACGCAGACAGGGACTTCCACACGGCAGGGTGAGGCAGGATGTGTGTTTCCGGTTTTCACTCGCAGCTCCTGCTCATTCCCACCACAGCTCTCCTCATTTCTAGAACAGTGCTGGGGTGCTGCAGCTCACACCTCCCCCCGCCGCTTATTCACCCAGGCACACCTACCCGAGGCAGGTCATGGACGTGGGAATCCGGGACCTGCTGACCGTTACGAAGTGCTCCGTTCCGCCTTATCTGATAGATCTCGGGACCCCTCCATTTCACAGGGGTCCTGCCCCACCTCAGGTGGAAGGCAGAGGCACAAGAGGCTAACTAACCCCAGCTGGCCAGCATGTCAGCCTTACGCCACCCCTGTACATCCAATCACACCTCTACCTAACTGTCCATGCTCCAGTCTCACCTATGCAGTGACATCTCCGTCACGACCCAAGGGGACAGGGTTCCCAGGGCGTCTGTACAGCTGAAGACACGGTGGCTCCTGGAGGGTACCTGGAAGGCAGTACAGCCCCACCTCCTGTTCACCCCCTCCTCTGCAGCCTTGTGTGAGGTGCGAGACCACCCAGCGGCTCCCCCGAGTTCTGGGGGCCACACCAGCACAGGCACCAAACGTGAGAGGGCAGCCAGCTGCTCAGAGCACAAGCAAAACCATTTGGATCTTGCAGCTGGCATAGAAGGTGGGGGGCGGGGGTGGGGAACAGTCTTGGGGACTGAGCCCCCAACCTGAGGAGCTGACGCTACAGTGTGAGAACCGAATTGAATGAGAGGCGCCCGGTTGCTGTCTGCTGCTGGGGAGAGACGCTGACACCTTGGAGGGGCGGAGTCTGAGTCTGCCTTCCCTACACAGGGTGGCTCTTCCCCGACACATCCATCAGCTGCAATGGAACAGGCCTCATGCTGCTGCGGAAGTACAGGTTCCTAAGTCCCAAGGGGCAGGGACAACAAGCCAGCCATCTCTAAGAGACATTGGGAAACGGGGCAAGAACAGAACCGGGATCCAATTCTGTCCGCCTCCAACCAGGGAGGTGCTACCCTGACCAGAATGCACCGGGAGCACCCCCGACACAGCTCGCTCTAGGAGAACAGAACCGCAGGCAGGCATCTGGGGTGCAGACTACGGCACACAAATAGAACACAAGGGATCGGTCTTTGTCCCAGCCTACCAGAGACTCTCAATCCGAGTGATGCCGGAAGTAGCCACCATCCCCGCGACACACCACTGTGTCACCCCCCCGCCCCTCCTCCCGCTCCTGGCCGCTAGCTGCAAACCACTGGGCAGAGGATGGAAGAGCACTGAGCCGTCCCCCGCAGGGCCCACCGTCCCCCCACCCCGGCCTGTGTGCTCCCAGACAACAGTCACCGCGGGGACGCCGAGAGCCACCTACAGGTCTGAAGGCCGTGAAGACTTTCTCCAGGACTTCGTGCAGCGTCTTCTTGCCGCAGGAGGAGATGTAGTCCTGCGCCAGCTGCAGGAAAGGCAGGCAGTCCTCGCTCTCACTCCACACGTGCTGCGCGCCGCCGGCCCGCGGGGGACAAAACACACACACAGGTCGTCAGCACGCGCCGAGCACGTTTAAAACCCAGCAAACCCACACGTGCACTCTGCATCGAAGCAGGTGGGAGAATGATCCCGAGAAACCCCACGCTTCCGGCCACCACCTTACCTGCTCTGCCGGCGGCCAGAGCTGCAGATACGCGGCAGACAGGGCGAGGGGACTCCCCCCCATCAGTCCCGCAGCCCGCCTTCTCGTGTAGGTGTACCCTTTTTTTTTTTAAGGTTTACTTATTTTTTTGAAAGGCAGAGTGACAGAGAGAGAGAGAGGCAGAGACAGAAAGAGAGATCTTCCATCCATCTGCTGGTTCACAAGTCTGGGCGTGGTCAGGCTAAAGCCGGGAGCCAGGAACTCCACCCAGCTCTCCCATGTGGAAGGCAGGGAGGGGCCCAAGTCCTGGAGCCATCTGCTGCTGCTTTCCCAGGCGCATTAGTGGGGAGCTGGATCAGAAGCAGAGCAGCTGGGACTCGCACCAACACTCCACTAGGGGATGCGAGGTCACAGGTAGGCGCTTAAGCTGCTGCATCCAATGCTGGCCCCAGGAGGGTGCGTTTAAGGCTGGGGGGCGGGGGGAGGCCCCGGGAGCCTTTGCCTCTGAAATCCTTAACTCTGCCTTCAGCTGCGGCTGAGGGATGAATTAGGCACCATCTGTAACCACCAACTTGGAACAAGGCCTCTTCTGACCAGAGCAGCCTGTGAGAGGAGCTGGTTATAAGTCAGATGAATCGAGAACAGCCACCATCGTGGCTCAGGTGCGGGAAGCGAAGGTTTACGACAGCCGCCCTTGCCTTAGAACGCGGTAGGGGCCGACCAGACCAAGCGCCGCTTCACAGGAGATCGGCTTTAGGTTTTCTGTCTTCCCTAAGGCTGGGTGAGACATCTTTTCCGACACGAGGGGTATCTGCCTCAGCACGTCTCCGAGACTGGGCAGGCCTCTTCTGCACACACGCGGGGTCTGGGACAAGCCCAGGAAACAGGCTGGAGCAGCTGCAACACAGGAGCCCCCTGCCCTACACGTCTTGGGGAGACCAGGCACTGGGCTGTTGGAGACAAGCCCTGCGGCCCGGGTGGGTACCCGGCACCACTGTTTGGATGGAACCGATGGACAAGCGAGCGCTGAGGCCTGGGAGAGCGGGGCAGGCAGCAGGAGACCAGATCTGCGGGGTAAACGATCCGAGCCGAGTGCACCTGGAGCCCCCTGTCGCTGCACAAATCATGGGGGCATGGGAAGTTCTACGCCTGTCACTCAGTAGACACATTTTACCTCCTTTCTTCTCATGCAGACTTAAAGATGCTGCTCAGACACAAGCGAGCAGTCGGTGCCAAGGTGCCACCTTTACACCCCAATTACCTGGGGTTCATGGCTGTTCAGCTCCGTTCCAACACCTGCGGCTCTGGCTCCAGCAGGCACCTGGGGACGCCTTCTCCCTGGCCTAGTAACGACCACAGCTGGGCGCCCTGGCTTTGGAGAACAGCTCAGGTGCTCCTCCCTGCTGGAGACCCTCAGAGCTCCCAAGCCACCAAAATGTCACTTATGGATCGGTCTCTTGCGTTGTGCACAAGTGGACCGGTACAGAGCACTTCCCCAGCTGCTGTCTCGTCTGATTCTTCATCCGTGGGGAGTTAATCACGTCTGCTCGGCATGCACTTTTTTTTTGGACAGGCAGAGTTAGACAGTGAGAGAGAGAAAGGTCTTCCTTCCATTGGTTCACCCCCCAAATGACTGATACGGCAGGCACGCTACGCTGATCCGAAGCCAGGAGCCAGGTGCTTCTCCTGGTCTCCCATGGGGTGCAGGGCCCAAGTACCTGGGCCATCCACCACTGCACTCCCGGGCCACAGCAGAGAGCTGGACTGGAAGAGGGGCAACAGAATCTGGTGCCCCAACCGGGACTAGAACCCGGGGTGCCGGCGCCGCAAGCGGAGGATTAGCCTAGTGAGCCACAGCGCTGGCTGGCATTCACGTTCATGCTCACATTTCTGAACGTTCCAGCTGAAGTGAATTTTTACCCAGGTTGAAGGCGGGAGTCACAGCTTGCACCACACAACACACAGCTTGAAGCCTGCCCTCGTAGACTTGCGCCAATCAGTAAACAAGTTAACAGTGTATTAAGTGCCCCGCACAGGGTCTGGCGGGGACATGTGGACATTCAGTATTCAATGTGGGGACTTCAAAAGGTTCGTGTAAAAATGGAAGGAAAAGATAAGCTATTTTGGAGCCCAAACCCCTTGAATCCATGCAGCGGTTTTTCATATGCTTCCAGGAAACTTCCTGAAGACCCCACTGAAGCCTCCTCTTTCCCCCTTTCCGGGCTGGGGTGGGGGCAGCGGAGGCCAAGGCCACAGGAGGAGTAACTCAGCCAGCCAGTGTGATCCCCCAGGGAATGCTGCCCGACACCTAGGCTTGAGGTTAACTCAAAGGTAGGTGTGTCTACGAAAAACTTCCAAACCTGCAAGGGTGATTGTTTTGGTCCACCTGGGCTTCAAATTACAAAGTGAACCGAGAAAAACTGTATCACTCCTACAATAAGAGAGCTGCAATGTCTCTGTCACCTTGGGTGATCAGTTTATTGAGCTAAACCCTCTGAGGCCTCTCTAACTTCCTGGAGGGGTTATTCATGCGTGACCACTGCTCCTCCACTTTGGGACTTGGTCTTCTAGGAATATGTGTGGGAGAAGGAACACTCGCCCACCCAGCAGCCCTCTGGCTGCACTGTTCCCCTCTGGCCATCTGTATCAGCTGGGATTTCCAGCTTTGTTTAGAAAATGTGTTACCTGGGTCCCTGCCCAGGAAGTATGGGTTTGGAGACAGGCCAGGTGCACATGGCCACTCAACAAACATCATTTGGGGTGGGTGTTGTGGTGCCGCATTTCAGCCGCCCTCTGGAACATGCGCTTCCCAGTGGTCACTCAAGCTCCGGCTCCGCTCTGATTCCAGCTTCCTATTGATATGCAGCCTAGAAGGCAGCTCAGTACTTGAGTTCCAGCCACCTCTGCGGGAGGCCCTGATGGATCCAGGCTACAGGCTTCAGCCCCGCCCAACCCCAGCTGTTGCAGGCATGTAGGGAGTAAACCAGAAGATGGATGATCAACTTTCTCCCTCCCTCTGCCCAAATAAGCAAAAACAAAAAACCATCATTTATGGGGTGGTGTCTGGCACAGTACTTAAGATGCCACTTCAGACACCTGCATCCCAGGTCAGAGTGCCTGCATTCAAGTCCCAGTGTGCTTCCAATGCCAGCTTCCTGATAATGTCTATCCTGGGAGGCAGCAGGTGATGGCTCACGTCGTGGGAGACCCCGACTGAGTTCTTGGCTTGCAGCTTCAGCTTGGCCCAGCCCCAGATCTGGCAGGCATTTGGGAAGTGAACCAGTGGACGGGAGAACTCTGTCTCTCTCTGCCTTTCAAATAGAGAAATAAATATGAAAAATAAAAACCTCAAACACCATTCAATGTTGATTGTTTTATATCCACTGTGTCTCATAACAAAGCATTCAATCTGAAGCCGCTTCCTTCCCAAATTAATCATGGCAGCCAGCAAAGGAGCCACATAGCACAAGACAAGCCAAATTAAAAGATAAGTCTGCAGGTGGGGAAAAAAAGGACAAAGGGAAAATGACAGAAGGAAAACAAGATAAAACCAATGGAGGGGCTGGCACTGCGGCTCAATAGGCTAATCCTCCGCCTGCGGCGCCAGCACCCCAGGTTCTAGTCCCGGTCAGAGCGCCGGATTCTGTCCTGGTTGCCCCTCTTCCAGGCCAGCTCTCTGCTGTGGCCCGGGAGTGCAGTGGAGGATGGCCCAAGTGCTTGGGCCCTGCACCTGCATGAGAGACCAGGAGAAGCACCTGGCTCCTGGCTTCGGATCAGCGCAGTGCGCTGGCTGCTGTGGCCATTGGGGGGTGAACCAACTAAAAAGGAAGACCTTTCTCTCTGTCTCTCTCTCTCTCACTGTCCACTCTGTCAAAACAAAAACAAAAACAAAACAATGGAGGCAGGACAGACCGAGTGAGGGGAAGGGGCCTGGCCACTGCTACGGCCAGGACACAGATCTCGAGCGAAGGCTTCCTCCGTGCTGAGACAGCGGCCTGCTGAGGCTGTGTTCACAGGTGAACCAGAGAACTGGCAGGCAGGGCTGGGGCTAGGAAAGCTGCTCTCTCAGGAGGACACAGGGGCCATTCTAAAGCCAAGGCAGGGCACACAGAGCACCCAGGGGCAGCATCGACCCTGCTGGAAACAGGACAGGAGACTGAAGGCCAGAGTCTCTTGCCGCAGGATCTGGCCACAATGGCTTTAACTGGGAAACCGTTGAAGAGCCGTGTACCCATGCTGGCCAGGAAACACTGCGACAGGAATGCTTGCCCTGGCAAATACGAATGGAGGTGCTCGATGTCTGACTTCCTGGAGGGCAGCTGGGGCAAGGGCAGCCTACAGGATGACCGTGACGATGGAGACGCAGCCAGAAGGGGAGGCCAGCCATGTCCCCAGGCCACAGGGTGCGCGGGAATCACCCCAGGCTTCTGATGGAATTTATAACTTCATTTTAAAAATTTTATTTGAAAGGCAGAGAAACAGAAAAGAGACAGGCAGAAAGAGATCTGCCATCTGCTGGTTCACCCCCCAAATGACTGCAACAGCTAGCGCTGGATCAGGACAAAGCCAGGAGCCTGGAACTCCATCCTGGTCTCCCACGTGGGTGGCAGGGACCCAGCTACTTGAGTCATTACTTGCTGCCTTCCAGGGTGTGCATTAGCAGGAAGCTGGATGGGGAGCGAGGCCAGGACTCGAACTCAGGCAAACCGAGATGGGACGTGGGCATTTTAACCTTTGCCCCGAACACCTGCCTCGAGGGTTTCTGATGTTGTGGGAGTGGGTGACTGAGAATTCGCATTTCCAACAAATTCCAGGTGGCAGGTCTCCGGGGTGCCGGTCTGGGGTGACCCTTTGAGGACCACAAGTAGAGCAGAATTATGGCCAACTGCCCGTCTGAAGGGGCAGGGAGGTTGGTGTTACAGTGACCAGTCTTGATGAACTGAAGTGATGCCATTACCGACTGCCACAGGACTGAAGCTCGGGGCCGCGATGCTGCTGTGAAGTTCCCTACAGAAAATCCCCCGCATGCACTTGGATCTGAGTGTAGGCACATGAGCCCTTCTTTCTCTTAGGCTGGGCCAGAGTTTATCCCCAAAGCTCAGCCTACGTAAGACAATGCAACCCTGGCACCTGCAGACAAGAACAAGAGCACCTTTCTAGTCTGTTCCCTGCAGGTGAGAGCATCCAGCTTACTGCAGGCAGGCGTGGCCTTACGGAGGGCATGGCCTTACGGAGGGCGTGGCCTCACGGAGGGCGTGGCCTCACGGAGGTCGTGACCTCAGTCCTGTAGCGCTGGGCGGGGTGGGGGCACACTCTGTGCGGAGCCCTGGGCCAAGCAGGGGCAGGCGTGGCAAGAACATGCCTGTGCCTCTCGTCTCTGGACACGACGGCTTAGCCCGGGGGCGCTAGCCTGGGCTTCCCTGTCACTCTGGTGTAGCTGCCCCCACCCCCCGCACCCACGGGCAGGTCCCATCCCTGGAACCTACTACGCAGGGATCAACAATACTCAAGGAGAAAACAACCACATGTGTCCTGAACACACAGGCCTTGTCTCCTTGTCCTTATTCCCCACCCCCAACACAGCGCAAGAATCCTTCATAGGGCACTGGCAGTGTCAGGTCTGGGGAGCAACCGGGAGCTGAGGGTTAAGGTGCGTGGAGGACTGAGCTGAGAGGCCTGCAGTACCCCATTTCATATGAGGGACTGAGTGTGGACCTGCTGCCCACAGGGGCTCCTGGGACCTCACCTCACAGAGCCCCAGGGACGACTGCCCTCTGGGCGGATTCCTTTCCACAAACCACAGGCAGAGGACAAAAACTACAAGCCACCACCTCCCACCACCCTGCACCTGCACACAGGGTGCAAGGGCAAGGCTGGCCACACCTAGGACCAGCCCGTTTTGTGTGGCCTCCTGCCAGGGACAAGTTTTACCTGGGAGCAGCCTGAGGCTCAGAAAGGTTAGACTACTTGCCTGAGGTCACACAGGGAGCGAGGGGCAGGGGCAGAGCAGAACAGGACTGTGTGACAAGCCTAACCGGGGCCTCAGCATACTCACTTGAAGGTCACCAGCAGGGCCCACTTGCCACCTCTCCAAGAACAGCCCAGGGACACACCTCCCTCCCTGTATGGAGAGCGCTCAGCCACTGTGGGAGGCGTCACCCTCTGCCATGCATGGTCATATGCACGAGTCCTCACCGAATCCTCATGATGATATTGCAGATCATGCCCATTTGACAGATTGGGAAACTGAGGGCAGAGTTTAAACTGGATGAGAGCCTTCTCTTCACTGCACCTTCAAGTACACATAATGCAAACTCATTTAAATGAGTTATGCATGATTTTGTTTACCTGTTTATTTGAAAGGCAAAGAGACTTTCCACCTACTGGTTCACTTTCCAAAAGCCTGCAACAGCCAAGGCTAGGCCAAGGCTGGGACAGAACTGGGTCAGGCTGAAGCCAGGAGCCAGGAACTCCCAAGTAGGTGTGGCAAGGGCCCAAGTCCCTAAGCCATCACCTGTTGCCTCCCAGGGTGTGTGTTAGCAGAAGTCAGAATTGGAAGCAGAGCTAGGACTTGACCCAGGCACTGACATTGGATGCAGAACCCTAACCACTGTGCATACGACCTGCTCCTGTATTTGTAAGAGATCCCAAGTGACTGCTGAGTGGGGGCTGCCTTAGACTGGCAGTAAAGGTTGCACACAAGGAGACAACTTAGGAGGCGGGAGGGAGAACCACAGTGGCTTACCCGAGCGTGACAGCACGGGCGTGCAGGCAAGTAGATGCACACTGTTGACATTCTGTGCGCACACCAGCAGAGCAGGGGTAACGCGGATGCAGGGGGTAGAGAGGAGTGGAGTGAAGGCTGTCCCTGAGTTGTCTTGTTCAAGCAATCAGATAGAAGGTGGTAACAGGGAGATAAGAACAGCAAGATGGGGTGACACCTTCGTACAAGCCAGGGGCTGGTCTCAGACAAGGCTGCCAGAGACTCACTAATACATCGCCCTCACTTTAGGCACGGTTCTCAACCCTCGGAGGGAGGTAGGGACGTCATCACTCCCACTTCCACAGATGTGGAAACTGTGGTCAAAATATTTCCCCAAGCCATCGTCAGAAGTGGGGCGCTGGGGACAACCCCTGCTGGTGCACCTCACCCAGATGTGACACTTGCTCCGAGACAGGTGGAAGGGCCCGAGTCCCCTTCGTGTTCCTGAAGCCCCGGCTGGGTGTGCAGTGCACCTTCAACAAGCGTTTGTTGAATGACTGAAGCGGAAACACTGAGCAAATTGAGAAATGCCACGGAAATATTTTTGTTGTTAGCAACTTCTTCAAATAACATGGCGTCCACTCATCTCAAATTTATTCTGACGTTTGGTATTTTCCTGAGGGAGAGAAAAGCTGCCAGGTAGGGCACCCCCTTGACCTGGGATGCACCGAGCAGGAGGTGTGGGGGTGGGCCAGTGCCCAGCAGTCAGCCCCGAGTCCAGCACTGGCTCTGCTCCTGATGCAGCTTCCTGCTGATGTGCAGCAGCCAGGCGCAGATGCCGGATTCCCTGCCCCCACTCCCAGGATGGAGCTCCAGGCTCCAAACCCCACAGCTGCTGGGAGCATCTGGGGAGTGAATCAGCAGATGGGAGGGCTCTCTGATTCTCAAATTAAAGAGAGAGAGAGAGAGAGAGAGAGAGAGAGAGACAGGAGATTTAGCTAACTAGAAAGAAAGAAAAGCAAAAAGAAAACAAAAACCAAAAAACCTCCCACAGTTGGCATCTTAATCATTAGGATCTCCAGGAATGTTGAGAAGATTCCAGTCTGCCCCTCCCCCACCTCCTGTCTTCCTTATCTGTTCCATTTAAACCACCAGTGAACAAACACTTCCTCCTGCAGGTGGAAAATCATTTACAACGCCGGGATGGATGCAGTGTTTCTGAAGGGCGGTTTTCTCCAGGGCACCGGCCCTGCAGCTGCAACAAGCAGGCTGAGCCCGGACACAGCCCACTCAAAGCCCGCCCGCCACTGCCAGGGACCCTGGCGCCCCGCCCACGGCCGCCGCGGGGCTTCGGGAGTGAACCCCTAAGACCTATCTCCTTCTTTTAAGTGCAGTTCCTACGTGTCACACTGATGGATGGCTGACCCGCTCTTCACAAACGCCCCGTGAGACAAGGCAATCAGCTTCACCCCGTTTTACAGGTGAGAAAATTGAGGTTTTATGAGAAGAGAGGCTCTCAACTCCGGGAAACCCCAGGATTTCGGACGCCAAATCTGCGGGGCCCTCGCTGCTGCGCGCCAGGGCTGTGGGCTCACCCGAGCGCTGACATCATCACACCCTCTCTGGCTGTGGCACGTGCGCCGGGGAGAGGCTTGGGGCAGCCTCCCACCGGCAAACCTGTGCCCAAGGGGGACCGACGGCTCGGCGGGGTGGTGGGCGCGGCGGGGCCAGCCCTCGGGGTCCCCGCGAACTCCCCGCGGTGGCCGCGCCGTAGGGCCCAGCCCGCCTTGCCCCCACCTGAGGAGCCTGCGCCAGGCCGCGCCCGCGACGCCACCTCAGTCCGCAGGGGCGGCGGCAGCAATGGCTCCAGGCTCCGGCCGCCGAGCACACGGTGACCCGCGCCCACAGCCGCCTCCATCTTACACTGGGGACCACCATTTACTCCATGTCTTCCCGGAACGCTAACCTCGCCCCAACTCCCTGCCCTCCGCACCCCTCCTCGCCGGCCAGCGCCACCATCCCAAGCGGGCGCAGGACGCCAAGTGGCCACTCCCGACACCGCAGTGCCCGGGCCCTCCTAGCTCGGGCATGTGTGTGTGTGTGGGGGGGGGGTCCCCTTCATCGGGGAAGAAACCTGCGGGGGCCCCACGGCTCGCGGAGGCGCGCGGGAGCGCACGGCCGGGGACCAGACGCGCCCGGGGTGTCCGCTGCCTGCGCACGCGCGCGGGCTGGGGACCTGGGAGCGATTCCGCAAGGAAGGTCCAAGAGCTGGGGCATCGGCAGTGCGGACAGCGGCTTTGTGTGCACTCGGGGTGCGGGGCAAGGCGAGGAGTTGTGTGCTGTGCGCACTGGGAGGGGGGAACGGGTTCCTGTCGCGGACCGGACGCCCGGGGCCAGGCAGCTCCGGACTTGGGAGCCTTGGCGAGGGTCTGTGCGCCCCGGCCCGAGCTGGCGCGACGCGGGGGACACCAAGGAGGCCCCACGCCAGACACCGCGCACGAGCCACCGGATCACATCCCCGAAAGCATGCCCGCAGGGGGAAGGGTGGACTCCAGGAGACGCCACGCCCCCTGCCCCAGCCCAGCTCCCCCACGCCCCGGCCCGAGGGCTTCCTCCCAGGGGCGCGGAGCCCCGGACGGCGGCTGCGGGTTACGCCCCCCCCCGTCCCCTCCCCCCGCCCCCCCCCCGGCACCCGCAGCCGCCGCGGCGCGCGGCCCCTCTCCGGCACTCACAAAATTGTCTCCGCAGCCGTTGTCCGGGCAGAGCACGTAGAAAGAGACGCCGGGGTCGGCGTAGAAATCCATCCTGCGTTCGGTGTCCTCGGTGGCGATGAGCTCGAAGGGCGTGTGCGAGCACCATTTCTCCGCAGCGTCCGCCAGCTGCTGGAAATCCATCGCTCTCGGCGCCTGCTCCCGGCCGGCCGCACGGCGCGGGCTCCCCCCCGGCTCCCGCGGCTAGCACCGGCGCCGACTGTTTACATGCGGGCTGCGACGGGGGGCGGGCGGCGGCCGCGGACGGCGCGGCGCCGCGCGTGCGGCTCCTCCCCTGGCCCGCCTGCTCCGCCCCGTGTCGGGCGGCCCCCGGGGGCTGGCGAGGCCGGGCTGGGGGCCGGGGCGGGGCGGCCGCAGCTCCGCGCCCCCAGGGTTTCCTCCCCCGCACCCCGCCCCGCCCCCGCCTCTCGAGTTTTCTGCAAACCCGGAGCGTCCCGGGGCCCTCGCGCACGCGGGGGCCGCCCTGGCCCGTGACGTCGTGGACCCCGGCCAATCGGCGGACCCGAGCCGGGAGCCGCGGCCTGCGGGCTGGATGACGTCGCGGCGCGGGCGCGGGATGGCGGCGGCGCGGGTTGCGGCGGAATCGTGCGGCCAGGGGCAGCGCTTTGCTCGGTGAGGCTCACGTGGAGGTAACGTGGAGCTTGCGGGGACGTCCGCGGGAAACGCGGCTTTGCTTCCGCAGAAGCTGATGCAGGCTGTGTCCCCTGCGTCCCAGGGCCGGACGCCGCGTGTCCACCCAGATGCGGAGGGAGGTTCTGTGTGCGCGCACGACGCGCGGCCGCGTGTGTCTGAGGGGCGAGCCCCGCGTGCCGCTGGCCGCTCCCCAGCCCCAATGCGCGCCGCACGGGCGGGCCTGGACCGCAGGGCTCGCTGCAGCTCGGCTGGAGTGAGGAGCGGCAGACGCACGCTGAGCAGCGCTCGCCCCGGGAACGTTCCATCCATGCGCCGTGGGCCCTGCGGACCCAGCCGACGCCCCTGTCCTCGACGAGGCATGGGAACTCCATGGGGAGGCTGCCCGCCCTCCCCTTAAGCCCCCTTAATGAATCAGAACTGCGTCCTCACAGCCAGAGTCTCCAACTGATCCTTCGGTGCTTTGGGGATCAGCCTAAAGCGTCTTTTTGCTAAAAGATCTTTCTCTGGTGAGAGTTGTCCGTCCCTAGAAGCTGATGCGGCTGTGTCGTGACTTCCTGACTTCCAAGTCACAGGCTCGTTGTGAGACATTTCAGCTCAGGGAAAGCTTATGAAGCACCTACTGGGACTGGGTCCCAGGCAAAGATGCACAAGGCCCCACCGAGGACTTTTATATCTTCTTTTGAAAGATGTATTTATTCGAAAGGCAGTTACACAGGGAGAGGGAGAGAACGTCCATCAGCCGGTTCACTCCCCAGTGAACAGTAGCTTGGGACTCCATCCCGTGCTCCTGTGGTTTTTGCGGAGTGGCGGGTGGCAGTTTAACCCATGTGCCCCAAGCACCCAGGAATTTACAGACTGGAAACCAGAGGGCCCCTGAGACCCTTGCACAGCTAACTGGCACACATCTGCCCCAGTCTGCAGTTGTTAGGGACTCGTAGATGTTAAGTCCCATGGTAATTGTCCTTAAGGTAGGGAGATGACTCTTGGTGGGCCTAACAATCCGGGAGCCCCCAAGAGGGACTGGGCCCTTCCTAGAGAGACTCATGGAGGAGGTGGCACCATCACCGGGGAGGAGGGGGAGGGGAGCCCTCGGCAAGGATCACTGAGCGGGCGTCTAAGGTGGGAGCAGTCCCCAGCCAAAGCCAGCAAAGAAGGGGGACTTCCTATGCGGCGAACCAGCACGTGTGGCTGTGCTGGCACTTCCTGCCTTCTGGAACCGGAAGTTAACAAATGGATGTTGCCTTAAGCTGCTCAGTTTGCTTAAATGTGTTTTTGCAGCAGCTGAGAACTAATGAAAGAGGCAAGCAGGTGAATACAAAAATTCAATATGCACTTGTAATGTTACCAAAATGCCACTGTTTACTTTGATGTTTTGTTTATTTGAGGTGCTGAGAGAGAGCTCCCTTCCCTTGGTTCACTCCCCAGATGCCCTGAGGGCAAGGGCGAGGCCAGGCACTGTTGGAGATCTCCCAGCGAGAGGCAGGGAGGCAGGAACCCACCGGCTTGAGCGTCCTCGCTGCCTCCCAGGTTCTTGTTAATGGCAAGGCTGTGCACGCAGGGGAGCTGACATTCCCCCTGGAAAGTTCATCTGCAGAAGTCACTTGAGCCTGGGTTTCTTTAAAGCAGCTGGGAAATCCACCCTCGACCCCCCCTGCGGAAGCTGCCTCAGCTGCCCTCCCTTGTTCTCAAGTGCTCCGTGGTTTTTATTCGACTGTGAATAGGATTGGCTTTCCCATGCAACTTGTTCTTTTACGCACTCCCACGTTGTAAGTCCACTTAATTAGTCTTTGACTTTGGTAACTGCTTCATCCACACAGCTTTGTGGTTATGCAGTCGGGGGAATTAGGCGTGAAGGGAAACACGGCTGGTTTCCCATTCGTCCTTTGGCTGTGCCCAAGGGAGTCCCACTGTATTGAGGGGGAGCGGTGGAACAGGAGGTGGTGGTGGCCAGTGAGGAAGTAGGTGATTCATCACAGTAGAGAGCAGAGAGGCATGAGGATGTGAGGGTCAGGAGAAGCAACACAGAGGAACTATGGGCAGGGTGCCTGCCATCTCTTCCCCCCAGTGCACTCAAGAACAGCGAGCTCCATGGGCTGGGGTGGATGAGCGGAGGGCGGACACGGGAGTCTGGCCGTCTCAAAGCTCTGTATCGCTGCAGCTGGGGTCTGAAAGCCAATGAAACTAGGAGAGCAGCAAAATGTAAAATCTCACAAGAGTCACTGAAATGTATCCCAGACGCCTGGGAGGAACACTCGTTCTGGATTTTGTGTCGGAATCCACCAACCCTAGTTTTTCATTTGTTTGACCTTTAAGTTTAAGTATTTTATTTTATTTTTGTCAAAGTCAGAGACATACGCAGAAAAACAGAGGGCCGGCGCTGCGGCTCTCTAAGCTAATCCTCCACCTGCAGCGCCGGCACCCTGGGTTCTAGTCCTGGTCAGGGCGCCGGATTCTGTCCTGGTTGCTCCTCTTCCAGGCCAGCTCTCTGCTGTGGCCAAGGAAGGCAGTGGAAGATGGCCCAAGTACTTGGGCCCCTGCATCCACATGGGAGACCAGGAGGAAGCACCTGGCTCCTGGCTTTGGATTGGCACAGTGCGCCAGCCAAGGCGGCCATTGGGGGGTGAACCAACGGAAAAAGGAAGACCTTTCTCCCTGTCTCACTCTCTCACTGTCCACTCTGCCTGTCAAAAAAAAAAAAAAAAAAAGAGAGAGACAAACAGAGATGTCTATGTACATTCTTATAAAAGGTTTGGATCTAGAATTTAAGGGAGCTATGAATTTTAAGACTTACCTTTTGCCTTCAAAACAAATCTAGCTAGGGAATGGGCATTGAGTCTAGAGGTTAAACTGTTCATGCCCTATAACAGAGTACCCAGGTTCCATCCCTCAGCCTCCGACTTGAGCTTCCTGCCAGTGCAGACCTTGGGAGGCAGTGGTGATGGCTCAAGTGATTGAGTTCCTGCTACCCGCATGGGAGACCTGGACTGTGTTCCGGCTCTCGGCTTCAGCCTGGCCCAGCCCCAGCCATTGCTGGTATTTGAGAAGTGAACCAGCAGGCGAGAGCTCTGTCTCTGCCTCTCAGATTTAGAATATTTTTTTAATTACATCTAGCTGATCAACTTCATCTGCCAATCACTTTTCCTTTTATATATGTTAGAAATATTCACTTACAATTTGTTTTTTTTTATTTCTTTTATTCACTTAACCACTTCAGTATTCTGAATTGTACAACTAATCATTCCCTCTACTGTCCCGATTTTCAACTAGTAGAACAGTTCCTGATTCTCCCTACTTCTAAACATTTGCATTGCCTTCCTTCAGTAAAATACGATCCGGAACACTTGCCCTCCCGCAGTCCGTGGATGGTGCTGAGAGACAAACACAGACGTTCCAGTGCCAGAGCCCCGTCCTGGCGTGGTCTCTGCCCCTCTCCTGGTGGTGCTCTCCGTCCCGCCTGGCTTTGCTGTCTGTCGAGGCGTGTTAGGACCCACCACATTAGCTCACCCTCTGGAGACACGTCCCGCGAGCATGACCACCAAGCTCCTGCATGCACGGGGGATTCCCTCCAGGAAAGGTGTGCATCCAGGGAGTTTACCCAGCTGCAGGCTCATCCCTCGCCACAGCCGTGTACTAAGAAGCAATGATGGACGGCAGCACAGTGAGCTTTGTGCTGGCCTTGCCCCCACACTGGGTGTGTGTGCCAAAGCCGCCGATGGAAAGCAGCTGAGAGCGAGCGTGCAGCCGTGTGGCTTGAGGTGAGGGCTTTGATTCACGACTTCACCACTAAGTATGTGATCGTGTGCCCCTGGCTAAGTTACCTAAGCCCCGGGAACTCTAGCTTCCCCGCCTGTAAGAGTGGAACAAGGGTGGCCAGCGCCGAAGCTCACTAGGCTAATCCTCCACCCATGGTGCCGACACACCGGATTCTAGTCCCAGTCGGGGCGCCGGATTCTGTCCTGGTTGCTCTTCTTCCAGTCCAGCTCTCTGGTATGGCCCAGGAGTGCAGTGGAGGATGGCCCAGGTACTTGGGCCCTGCATCCGCATGGGAGACCAGGAGGAAGCACCTGGCTCCTGGCTTCGGATCAGCGCGGTGCACCGGCCACAGCGGCCATTGGAGGGTGAACCAACGGTAAAGGAAGACCTTTCTCTCTGCTCTCTTACTGTCCACTCTGCCTGTCAAAAAAAAAAAAAAAAAGAGTGGAGCAAGGGTGTATGCCTTAGGGACTTGTTGTAAGGATTATAGATAGATAAACCTCTGTGTGTGTGTGTGTGTGACAAAGAGAGGGTTGGAGGGGTGTGTGTGCAAAGAAGCAGAGTTGCTTAAAATGAGAGACCCCTGACTGCAGGGTACAGAAAGTTCACAGAGGGGCAGGTGTCTGGTGCAGCAGTTAGGTGCTTAAATAAAAATAAATTAATTAAAAAATTTTAAGAGTTCATGGAAAATGGAATTAAAAGATTCAGTTCATTTTGGTGCGAACAGTTTTGAAATCCATACATTTGAGGAGTTTCCAGAAGGATCATGGAAAATGTGTATTATGGAAAAACTATGCATAGATCTTTCTTAAAAAAATCTTCACCAACATAGATTTATATTTTAATCCCACTTTCTATAAAATTTTTGAAGTACT